GCTTTCGGGCTGAAATAGAGATTCCAAAGGACACATCCTGCTGCATGATAAAAATTATTTCCTGCACTTAGTACATTTTACATCAAACCATTGAGTTAACTGAAATATTGCTAAATGTTCTACCGTTGATTTGTATGTAAGGTGGTTTCTCGTAATCTAAAACAATTTGCTCTGTTTTTGCAGCTTTGGAGGTGGTGGTCGTGGTGGAGGAGGCAACAGTCGTGGTGGAGGAGGTGGCCGTGGTGGTTTTGGAGGAGGGTCTTTTGGTTCTTCTTTTAGGGGTGGAGGGGGTGGAGGATTTGGTGGTAAAAAAGACAAGTTAAATAACAGCCCTGGACAATTGCTAAGAAAGCCAAAGTGGGATCTTGATGCACTGCCAAAATTCAAGAAGGATTTGTACAGGGAACATCCAAATGTCCAGAACAGGTCGATGGTAGGTATTTAAGGTACCCCAACAAAAGGAACTGTTGAGTGGTTAGTTTTTAGGAATGTAACATCCTACATTGAAAAAAGTGCAAAGAAAAACCAAGCTTATTAGAAGCTAAATTAGACCAAATTTGGTTATATTACATTTGCCCTTTGTTTAAGTATGAAAGGTGGAAGGTACATGTGGTACAAGTCTCTGAAAATATTACTGTTTGTTTCTAGAAGAAGAAAACTAGTAAGCCCTAGAAATATAATGAAATGTGCGCTGATTTTGTCTTTTAGCAAGAAGTTGATGACTACAGAAGACGTTCTGAACTTACTGTTCTAGGGAGGAATGTACCAAAGCCAGTGATAGCTTTTGAGGAAGCAAATTATCCAAGTAAGTGTTATCTTTCAGTTCAGTTTGATAAGACAACCATGAGCAGTGTTCTGACAACGTAGTAAGCTAAAGTAGTAATAATTTATATTGATTTGTGTTTTTTTGTTGTTGTTGGTACCTACCTGTACTTTGCTAATTTCAATCTTTTTCCAGGGCTTGCCTTAAATGATTGTCATGTTATATGACCAAATTTACATCTTTTCTTTCCAGATTATGTTATGGATACAATAAGAAAAGAAGGTTTCCAAGAACCAACAGTTATTCAAGCACAGGTAATTGTGGTAATTTTATAGTTTATTGTACCAATCTATTAGGGTTTTTTGTATGGCAGTCGCAGATATAAAGAGTTCCTTTTTTTTAGGGCTGGCCAGTAGCACTCAGTGGTAGAGACCTTGTTGGAATTGCACAGACAGGATCAGGAAAAACTATATCTGTAAGTGTTGTTGGTTAAATGTTAATTTTGTTCCACTGTTCATGCAATAAAGAGGGAATTAGACATTTGTGTTAAAGTACATGTAAAGTAAGCAATTAAGGTCTCAAGGTAGGTGAATTTTAATGAAAATGCAAACAATCTGGTTTTGGCTAAAAGAATGGGGTGGAAGCTTTTTTACTTTTTAAGATAAAGAGAGAAAACTATTTTTGAATTTTAACCCTTTACTGGGCATTCACAAGTTTTTGCTCACCACTGATAGATGCTGTCACATGATATATAGATTTAGCCAAGCCTAAAAGCAGAGCCTGGCTTGAGCCTGCAATCTAATGGATAACCTGTACCTTGGATCTCACCAAGATTCTCGTCAAGTTTTTGTCTGCTAACATCTTGACTTGCCAAAATTCTTGCCAAGGTATTGAAATGTCAGCACACAAAAACTTGCTGAGAGAGATATCACAGATCCAGATATCATAAATTCAGAAAATTCAGAAAATTTATAATGTGTTGATGTTGAGAGAAATTCTGGCCGACAAAAGAAACACTTGTAGTAGACGTTTGTCAGGGAAGACAGAACACTTTCTCCTTCACTTCACATTTTCTGAAAGGAAAATTGCTCAGTTCTGAAATCAGAAATACATAAAAAGAACTAACCTTTATACCGGGGTCAACATCCTTTCCCTTGAACAAACAGCAATTTAATTAACCTGAGGTTGTCAACTATCTGTAAGCTGTGAAGATTTGAAGGAAATTATTGTTTGTAGATGTTTGGCCACCTTGCAGACTTGCTATCTAGCTTTACTGTAGTAAAGCTGATGTTAATTAATTAATATACAATCAACAACATGATGTAATATAATTTTGTCTTCTTGTAGTTCATTTTACCTGCAATTGTACATATCAATAACCAACCTCTTCTTCAACCTGGGGATGGTCCTGTGGTAAGTGCATGTAGTAAAAGTTTGCTTATCATAGTGAGCTGGTACATTTTTAGTGCAGAGATCACTATTGGGATGGTTTGGGGGGTTGATCTCTGAGATTGTCTTACTAGATTAGTCACTGAAAGTGCTTCAAATGAAACCTGCTTAACTGGGATATGACTAATGCAGTAGGTTAGACACATGCCAAATTCAAGTTAAAGTGCACCTAACCCCCCAAACTGTTTTTGCTAAAACAAATCCACCAGGCATTTGGGCAAAAACATTTTTGAATTTGCTTGAATCCTTGATTTTGTATGCCCTTTTGTAGAAGGGCTTGAATTGTTGCGAAACTGCATTTAGCGAGTCTGGGGCGGCGGTTGCTGATGATTTTGTTATCATGTTATTCTAAAGGATTAATCTTCAACTTTTATCTAAATCAAAAGAGAAGCAAGTGTTGGTTTGCGGTGTACAGCTGCAACCAGACTGCAACCTATTTACATATCAGTATATTAGTTATAAATTTGCCGGCTGTGTTATAAATACTGCGGGATTGGGAGATATAGGCTGTCAGTAGTATTTCTATAAATTGCTGGTTGGCTTTAAGCAGAAAATTTTGAAAATAGCATTTTGAAGTCTGCAGAACAAATTCCAGTGAGAGTTCTTCAATGGTTCTCACAGACTCGTGTCGCTTGTTTTGGTTCAACAAAATCAACCCATTGTTAACATCTTTTTTCTACCATTGACCGATTGTCCTCTGTAAATTGTACATCATATTGTTCTCTAAATTTAGGATGTTGCTGCAACAGCTGATAGCACTTCTGGAAGGCGTTTCTGTGCATTTTTCGAACGTGTGACTGCATTATCGTAAAGGAAATGAGAGGACATAAGATATTCAACCTTCCTGGGTAGATGTCACAGTAGCCGCTGAACCCATTTCCTCAGGGTACAGAAAATCAAGGATTTAACCGAATCTAAAAATTGTTTCGCAGAAGTATTTCAAACAATAAGTAGATTGGTTTTAGTGAAAAAAAAATTGGGGTGTTAGGTGCACTTTAATAGGTGCAGCTTTAACAAAGCTTTTTGGCAATTGCTTATTTATTGTTGTCATTAATTTTGATGATCACAATAACTGTTTTGGTTTCCTTGTCAGCATTGATACTGTGAGAGGGAATGCAGATGTTGAACACTTTTGTGTGTTAAATTGTTAAACTACTGTTTTCAGGCTCTTGTCCTTTGTCCAACAAGAGAATTGGCACAGCAAGTTCAGAGTGTCGCATTCCAATATGGACGAAACTCTAAAGTCAGAAGTGTGTGCATTTATGGAGGTGCACCAAAGGGGCCTCAAATTCGTGAACTTGAAAGAGGTGACTCAATTTATGTTGTACACTCATTTTACACACAATCTGTGCATAAAAGACAGTTTCACTTGGTAACTTTTTCTTGATACATCAATAGTGGAGTGTTCTCAGTTGTCATCATTTCCCTTAGTTTTGTGTAGCTGTATGGCACTTTGGTAACATTCTCATGCTATTGGTGCTGCAGGTGTGGAGATATGTATAGCTACACCAGGGAGACTGATTGACATGTTGGAGGCTCGCAAAACAAACCTGCGGCGGTGCACTTTCTTGGTGCTTGATGAAGCAGACAGGATGCTTGATATGGGATTTGAACCACAGATTAGGACAATTATTGAACAGATTCGCCCAGACCGACAGACACTTATGTGGAGTGCTACATGGCCAAAGGAAGTACAGGGTCTGGCAAGTGACTTCTTACGGGACTATGTGCACATCACAGTTGGAACACTAGGGCTCACTGCAAACCACAAAATCTTACAGATTGTGGATGTGTGTGATGAAACTGAAAAAGACTACAAGTAAGTTTTCACTTTGGTTTTACCTCAGAAACAAAAGTCCTTGTGATGTGGGTTAAAACTGTGGTTAGAAGTTCTTTTGAACTAAGGTGTAAATATTGTTAGTGAAGTCCACACTGATGGAACTGCCCTTAAGAAACATATAGTGTCTGTTTGGGTCTTACTTGCTTACAGAACTACCCATCTGAGACTTAAGATGAACTTGTGTAGTGTTTTGTCATCTATATCAGATGTTGTGCTTCAATTTTAGTCTGGAATGAACATGCAGTAAGATACCTGTCAGTCGGCCTTTCTTGCAACACTGTTGACTTTGTGTGAAGTGTATTGGACAAAAGTACTACAGGGTAGAGCTGTACTTGCAGTTTTAACTACATGTATAATGTCAAGTGCAGCTATATTGTGTTGTAGAGTATTTGCATAGTCTACTCTATGGACTGTTTACATTTTTCTTGTACACTGAACAGTATGAAGACTAAGAGGATGTTTGTTTGTTTTTTTTTTCTGCAAGGCTTATCAAGCTTCTGGAAGAGATAATGGGAGAGTCTGAAAACAAGGTAGATTTTGGTAATTGTTTGAGTCTACTGATAATGATATTGAGCCGCCTTTTTCTTTTTGCTCATGTGTTCTTTGTTAATTTTACCACTGTAGTCCCTCATTTTTACGGAGACTAAAAGACGAGCAGATGAGCTAACCAGAAGGATGCGAAGAGATGGGTGAGTGTAGCATTTCTGATTGTCTTTTCCAGACAAAATGGGCACTCTGTCTTGCCTGTAGAGCACATGATGAATGTTCAGTTTGCTCTTGAATTTTGCATGTTGACCATTTTGAATTCCTCGTTACTGATGCTCTTTGTTAGTTTTTGTTCACTGTTTTATCCAGTGATTGGCCTTTTTTAAGTCTGTAATGTACTTTTCTCATTAGATGGCCTGCTATGTGTATTCATGGAGACAAATCTCAGCCTGAAAGGGATTGGGTCTTGAATGGTGCGTCAGAATTCATAGTATATTTTATTGATTGATTGATTGATTGATTATATATATATATTTTTTTTAAATTCAAGGAGTAAAATGGATATCTACTGTATCCCTATATATTCATATTTCTATTACTTATTAATTGTGTGCATGAAGTACACTTAATAGTAAAAGGTTTGTCTTCTCTCTTTATCCTTTTTAGAATTCAGGAAGGGTAATGCTCCCATCCTAGTTGCTACGGATGTTGCTTCCCGAGGATTAGGTTTGTCACCGTTTGTCTTGTTAGTTAACCAGATTTATTTTACCAAATGGCCTAGAGCACAGGCACTGGATATGGTACATGTAAATGTCATATTCACAGTGTCACACCATGAAATTAGGAATGAGTAACTAGATAGCAATCCATTCTAGCATAGATGTATATCCTCTTTGTTGGTGATTTTGAAGATTGTTTACTAACTCTACCTTCTATTTTTAACCCCATAGTAGGTATATTTTTTTAATCGGAGGGTGCATCATCTATGCTGTGGTTACTGGTTGTCCTTGAGTGGAAGGAACTGTGCATGACCTTGGTTTGTCAGCTGAGCTGGAGGGAAAGGAGCAGTTGTTTCTTGCATTGTTTAATTAAGTTATTTTGCCAAAATTGCTTTCAAAATTTTGAAAAACAGCATGTGACTTTGCAATCTTGTGGGCCACTGTCAGATGCACACATGCATACAAATGGTAAATGTTTTCCATTTCAGGAAGTCCTTCAACCTTCAAGTTACAAAATAAGACTGTCTTGAGGAGTCAGGATTTTCCTTGCACCTCACACCTCAACAATTAAACATGATACAAGTGTTTTTTTTAGTCTGCAAGTCAATTGGCTCTCATGGACAGACTGTGTCCAAGATGCTGCCTTGCCTTGTACACAGGCTCTCTGTTCAGATTGATTCCTTTCTGATGTCTGCCACATCCCATAGCATGTGGGACTTGTATTAAGTATTGAATTTTAATAAAATCACTTTACCAATTCTCAGTGGAGTTGTGTTTGATGGTTGTACAGATGGAGTCCAGGTTCCACAGTAGTGTAGAATTTGTGGGGCCTTCTAGATTCAGCTTGTCGCAGCGTAAAAGTACTATCTGTACAACCTCAAACTTTAAGTCAAAGTCCAGTGCTCTGACTTGGTAATTTTTTTTTGTTGTAAACAACTCCATCAATCAAGTTAACTGAAAGCAAAATTATTTATTGTTCTGGTGCATCATTGCCCTGGCCAACAAAGATTGACAACAGAAGATAAATTGACTGAAAGTCATAGCACTGGGCTTTGACTTGAAAGTTCCGTGCAGAGGTTAAGTTCTTCAAATTGCTATTTCAAGGAGATAATAAGAGTATTTGGCACTTAAGAGTGTTAAAAATTCAGAAACATTTGTCCATTTAGATGCTTGCAGATAGGAAGTCCCTCTGATAAGGTTAAAAGAAACAAGGTTGAATCTTATTGCACAGTTTTTCTTTGTTTTTCGTGCTTGGATTCTCAGTTGTTGTGGTGCAGGTAGCCATAACAACACTTGACTGAAGGTAGTCTTTGTAAGGCAAATCTTACTGGCAGTCCCAGAACTACATTATTTTTGCAAAGCAAAGATACACTGTGAGCTGAGATTCATTTCTGTTTCTTTAAACTTTGCACAAAGGACTCCTGTATATTTGTACATTTTGTGTTGCAATGCAGTGTTGAATCTAAAGGGCCCACAAAGTTTGCATTACTGTCTACAATTCATAAAGTGGCAGTCAGGCGAGTCTGTGTTCTGTCTTAATAATTAAGAGTATCCTACATTTCTGTTCCTTCCCTCCCAATCATCTGGACGCGCTGAGTCATGGTGTGGTTCCCGCTTCAAGTGTAACCTGGTGAACATTTTTCATGCCGGCTCCCAGAGCAGAAACAAGCTCAATAAAATTACACTCTGGGACAGATTCCTTGTGGCCAGGCAAGTTTGTTTGGAGAAGTACACAGGCTACTTTGGTGGCCAATTTGTTTCTGTTACATTAAAAGGTGTTGGAAACCATACTGTGCCCACGTGAGTATCGAGGGACTGTTTCTGACTTTTTCTAAAATTAGCATTAGGGAGCTGGCATTCAGTGTTGACGCCCTCTTTTTATTGATAGCCTGCTGTATTGTATATTATTTTGACACCCTGTTGCTTTGTTGCATCATTTAGATATCTCCGACATAAAATTTGTGATCAACTTTGACTTTCCAAGTTGTTCAGAAGATTATGTGCATCGTATTGGGAGAACAGCACGTTCAGATCGCACAGGAACGTCCTATACTTTTTTCACGACCGGCAACGCGAAGCAGGCTAAGGACTTGATTTCCGTGCTTAAGGAGGCCAACCAGCATGTCAACCCCAAGCTCATTCAGCTGGCTGAACAAGCCAGGGGCATGTTTGGCAAAGGTTAGTATCGCC